GTGTGTGTGTGTGTGTGTGTGTGTGTGTGTGTGTGTGTGTGTGTGTGTGTTGGATAGATACGTAGGAGATGGAGAGATTTTTAAGGAATTGGCTCATGTGGTGGTAGAGGTTGGCGCATCCAAAAGCTGCAGGATAGGCTAATGGGCCAGAGACCCAGAGAAGAACTGATGTTTCAGAAGGAATCAGAAGGCAATCAGATGACAGAATTTACTCTTCCTCAGGGGAAGTCAGTCTTTTTCTGAAAGCCTTCACCTGATTGGATGAGGCCCACCACATTATGGAGGGTCATCTGCTTTACTCAAAGTTTACCACCTTGATGTTAATCTCATCTAAAGAAATAACTTTCATGGCAACACCCATCTGCATTTGACCAAATATCTGGGTACTGTCGCTCAACCAAGTTGACACATAAAATTAACCATCAGAGGGTCATCATGAGTTGGATATGTTTTCATCACCAGAGATGGAGAATGAGCCCATGAGTCAGGGCCTGTGCCCACACAGTGCTGTCCCCTATAGGGCTCACCATGGAGCTGACACCAGAATCAGCCTGCAGCATGAATTAGTGGGACCCACAAATGTGGCAGAGAGTCTGGTCCTGGGCCAGAATGAATATTGTTTGTTTTTATTATGAAGATAGTGATACATACTCACTGCAGAAAAAGTTCAAACATTCGGTAATAACTGAATAAGGTAAAAAATGAGCATTCTTTCCTCTCCCAATGCCACCTCCATAATCCCATTATTAATATGTCATTCCAGACTTTTTCTCCACTTATACATGTAAATATATTTACTTTTTAAAAAAATTTATGTTTTATTGAAGTATTGTTGAATTACAATGTTGTGTTAATTTCTGCTGCACAGCAAAGTGACTCAGTTATACACATATATACATTCTTTTCATATTCTTTTCCATTATGGTTTATCACAGGATATTGAATATAGTTCCCTGTGCTATACAGTAGGACCTTGTTGTTTATCCATTCTATATATACCAGTTTGTATCTGCGAATCCCAAGCTCCCAAGCCCCTCCCCACCACCCTTGGCAGCCATGAGTCTCTTCTCTATGTCCCTGATTATAAATGTATTTTCTTAAACAAATACTAAATGATGTTATTTTGTTCTACAACTTGCTTTTCCTCCAGAAAAATATTTTGAAATATATTCCCATAGAGCCACCTCATTTTTAACAGCTGTGTAGTATTCCACTGTAGAAAAGCATCATCATTTATTTCCCGTGTCCTCAATTGATGGATATTTAAGTGGTTTCCTAGTTTAGCCATTCCAGACCATGCTTCAATTGCATCATTATATATATTTTAATACTTTTACAAGTGTTTATTAAAAAATATTTATTTATTTATTTGGTTGCACTGGTTCTTAGCTGCGGCAGACAGGCTCCTTAGTTGCAGCTTGTGGGCTCCTCAGTTGCGGCATGCGTGTGGGATCTAGTTCCCTGACCAGGGATTGAACCTGGACCCCCTGCATTGGGAGTGCGGAGTCTTAACCACTGGACTACCAAGGAAGTCCCTACAAGTGTTTTTTTTTTTTTTTCCAAACTTTTTTTTGGGGAACAATTTTAGATTTATTTAAGTGTTGCAAAAAATAGTAGACAGAGTTTCTGCATAACTTTTCCTTTCACCCAACTTCCCTGTCTTAGTCCGTTTGGGCTGCTATATCAAACCACCGTAGACTGGGTGGCTTAAACAACAAACATTTATTTCTCAGAGTTCTGGAGGCTGAGAAGTCCAAGATCAAGGTGCTGGCAGATTCATTGTCTAGAGAGAGCTCTTTTCTTGGTTCACAGACAGCCCTCTTCTCAATGTATCTTCACATGGCAGAAGAGATGAGGGAGTTCCCTGGGGTCTCTTTTATAAGGGCACTAATCCCATTCATGAGGGCTCCACCCTCATGACCTAATCACCTCCCAAAGTCCCCACCTCCAAATATCATTACACCGGGGATTAGGTTTTAACATATGAATTTAGTGGGGTGACACAAATATTGAGTCTATAGCATACCCCTAAGATTAATATCTTCCGGGACTTCCCTGGCAGTCCAGTGGTTGGGACTTCGCCTTCCAATGCAGGGGGTGTGGGTTCGATCCCCAGTTGGGGAGCTAAGGTCCCACATGCCTTGCAGCCAAAAATCCAGAACATAAAACAGAAGCAATATTGTAACAAATTCAATAAAGACTTTAAAAATGGTCCACATAAAAAAAATCTTAAAAAAAAGATTAATACCTTCTATAACCATAGTACAATTATCCAAGCCAAGAAATTAACAACAATGCAATACTATAAACTAAGACCTTATTCACATTTTACCAACTGTCCTACTAATATCATTTTTCTGTTATTTTTTTTCCCCATTTTTCATTTAAGTTGTCATATCTCCTTAGTCTCCTCTAATCTGGGGCCATTTCTTTGTCTTACTTTGTCTTTCACGACCTTAACACTTGTGAAAGTACTGGCCGGTTATTTGATGGAGGTTATGCATTTTTGGCAAGGAGACTGTAAAAGGCATGTTGTACGTTTCTCAGGGCATCATATTAAGAGGGGCATCAATCAATACTGGTGATGTTAACTTTGATCTCTTGATTAAGGTGGTGTCTGCCAGGTTTCCCCACTGTTGTGTAATTATTTCTCCCTTTTTCATTTATAAGTATCCTGTGGGGAGATATCTGAGTCTAGACAAACGTCCTGTTCCTCATCCTACTTTCACCCAGTAATTTTAGCATCCATTGGTGATTCTTGCTTGCCACAATTATTATTATGGTGTTGGGCAAATAGTGATTTTCTATTTTCATCATTTTTTAGTAGTAGAGGTTCTTAACTTGGGGTCCGCATGGTACACAGTGTTTTTATATACTTATTCTGCAGGAGGAATGGCTAAGTAAATGGATATGTCCATTAAAAATTGAAGGCAAAGGACTGCTTTTATTTTATTTTATTTTAAATTTATTTACTTATTTATATTTTATTTTTGGCTGCGTTGGGTCTTTGTTGCTACATGTGGGCTTTCTCTAGTTGTGGCGAGTGGGGGCTACTCTTCCTTGCAGTGTGCAGGACTCTCATTGCAGTGGCTTCTCTTGTTGCGGAGCACGGGCTCTAGGCGCGTGGGCTCAGTAATTGTGGCGCATAGAGTTAGCTGCTCCACGGCATGTGGGATCTTCCCGGACCAGGGATCGAACCCATATCCCCTGCATTGGCAGGCGGATTGTTAATCACTGTGCCATCAGGGAAGTCCCTAAAGGACTGCTTTTAAATGCTGTGCTAGAGGGATGGCCAATGGATCCAAAATGAAGAAAAGATGCTGACCCCCCTTCCTTTTCAGCAGAGGGCACAGAGACACCCCCACCTTTCCCTCCCTCCCTCATCTCCCAGGAGCCGAATTCCAAGAACCTCCTGCCTTTCTCATTATCAGGGAGCGTCAGATGACCAGGTCACCACCTCCTGATCCTGGGAGCATCTTCTGAGAAGAAGGGTCTTTGGAGTCTGGTCTATAAGTGGACCTGACAGTGTGGATCCTGCTCAGTGTTGCAGTGGCTGCCCTGCCCTTCAAACAGCAAAGCTGCTGATTGGTCCCAGAATTCAGGCCACTGAGAAGCAAGGCTATGCCTGTCTCACAGTTCCGACCCCACCAGTCTCACTTTTTGCAAGTGGGGAGCCAAGCTTGGAAGTGGCTCTTTACAAGACATGGGATTTGACTTCAGCAAACTCATATTGTCTTTGGAGTTGAGGCACACGAAGAGTTTATGCCTCGACTTTAGCCACAGTCCCGTGTGTTGGGTGCACCCCACGGTCAGCTCCCAAGGTGGAAGCAAAAAAGAGCACGTACGCATGTGCGCACACACACACGTGCAATTGTATTGTATTTGGGTTTAGAGAATGAACTGTCAGGATTCCCTTTACTGAAAAACCTTGGAAGGAAGGGAACAGTTGGCTGGCTTTCTTAGTGTCAAAATTACAGCTTGAGGTTTTTATATTTTCTAAATACAATAAGGCACCTTTAAGAAAAGCCAAACGAGCTAAGTACTGAATTACTGACCTCAACTGAAAAAATGTTAAATGATCATTAATTTTCACAACTGCCCTTTGCTTTATGACTTAAGAAATTACAGGAATAAAGTTTCAGAAGCATCAGGGTCTTGTCTTTGGGGTGGGTGTTTACAGGCCTTTCAGGGAGGCCGCTCCCTCTCCTTGGCATCAGGAGCTGAGAACAGAATGTTCAATCAGAGCAGACGTGCATTTGTCACGAGCCTTCCCTCTG